CTGGATCTTCCACATTACGAACTCCCCTAGGGATTGTCGTTCGCCTTGCTAAGCACTATGGAGATCATTGCGTGCTTGGATCAGTAGAGCAATGCTATTGAACCTCCTTAAAAATTATTGCTGGAACATTGTCCATGTGGGGTTCAAACAACGTATGGTACCCCACCAGTTATCTGCCTCTGCTTTTAACTGTGAGGCTAGCACACGTACCCATTTCTGGTGTGGTACATACGCTTCTATTAGGATCGATTCAACTTCTAGAATGGTAAAAGAATTAGGTATGTCTGAAAAAATAGGTTTACGAACACACGATTCTTATTCTAATGAATTAATGAGTCGTGGTGATTTAAGTTCATCAACAAATGAAATAATTGATCAGGAAATTAAGAAAATTCCGGTGCTGTTCTCCCGTGATTCGGTCTAAACCACCGGAGAAATTTGAATTTTCTCCGGGACAAGGAGGTCCGGTTGGTGTAATCCGGGGTACTAACCGTTTGCACGGGGTAAATTTGTTTTTTACTGGAGAAGTGTTTTCTGAGTTTCTGTTCCACCGAAGTCCTGTGTTGTCCACCGGAGTACTCTTCATCTCCTCGAAGTTCCGGTGGGAGGAAGGGGTTCTCTTGAGCCATTCGGTCAAATTTTTATGGGACGGTTCACCTGCTCACCTCCTTCTGACTAGATTTCTGGTGTGTCCGTCCTGTCCGCCATAACTTGCTTAAGCATGTGAAGTAGCGGTATGGTTCCCCTGTTGGTACTGCCAGGTACCCCTTCCACATTAATGGTGAGCAAGTTGATTTGCGACGTTAAAATGTCCACTTTTGTTTCCAGCCGGTAATATGGTCACGCTGGAGGAACACCGTGTTCTCTAGTTCCTCAATTTTAGACATGTACTCGTCAAGGTACGAAAATAAGGTCGTGTACATGTATTGTGGAGGGAAATTCCACTCGGTTTTATCGTCCTCGGCATTATCCAGTGCATTGTCCGGTCTGTCATTGTCAGCTCCACTAGTCTGATATGTACTCCCTTTAGAGACATCTTCGCTATGAGGGAGAGGATTCTTGGGTTGAACGGGATAAAACTTGATACTACCCACATTAACACCCTCCTCCTGAAGGTAGTCCTCTAGCCTGATCATAAGATCAGCTTTCAATTTCCCAGTTGCAAGTTCCCGTAGCGCTAACTCCCTTTGTAATTCCATAATCGACAACTCGAGTATAGTCATTACCAGAGTATTACCAGACATACTAATGATAAAGTCGCAAATAAATAAATAAATTACAAGCAAGTCAGTGGGATGATAACGCGCTGATCACGTGACGGGCCTGTAGATTTGCCTAATATTTATTTTTAGTACAAACTACGAGAAAAATTAAAAAGAAATCGTACGTTATAAAGTACCGTCATGATGTCCGTTGTCGCGTGCGTTTGTAGTCGACAGGTCACGACGAAAAAAACAAAACATAGTCCAAAGCAAATTAATAAAAATCTCTTGGAGACCACAAATCGAACACACACATTAGTTAAATAAGTTCTATTGAAATTGAGGTAATATTTATAAATTTATTGATAATAGTAATAACTTTATCATACTTGATTGTGTAATCGAACTGTTTTTGATCACCGCAGCTGCTACGTCGGCCGTCGGTCTCAAGGTCAACTTCTCTAACAACTCACACCTAATACAAAATGAATTCTCCCGGAAAATCACTTTCAAATATTAATAAAAATAAATTGAACAAAACCGCTACACCATTGTTTATCTCCAACCTGAATAACAATACCGGTGATGCATTGCCTTGTGATTTCTCTGATAATGATGACTGGCAGACAGTCGAACAACAAAATAAACGTATCATATCCCCTAATAATATTTCACCACGCTCTAAACGACCTGATTCAAATATTTTTACGTCACCAAACCGTTTCTCTCCAATTGCACCAATTATAGAAGACGATCCAATGAACCACACAAATGAGCTTACGTTGGAAAGTAATAATAAAACTTCCAGGCCACCCCCAATATTTATTCAAGCTGGATTAAACTATAATTTTTGTATTAAAATCAAAGAATTAACCGACACATCTGGTTTCGATTGTAAAAGCTCTACTAAAGACCTTAAACTCCAAACATACAGTTCCGACTTATATAGAACAGTAATAAAATATCTCAAAGAGAATAATGTCTCATTTCATTCGTTTCAAATAAAAGAAGAAAAAGCTTTTCGAATAGTAATTAAAAATTTACATTCTACTACTGATAAGGCATTTATTAGCGATGAACTTTCTACTTTCTAACAGATTTCATTCAATCACCACTACCTTTATCTTTACCAGCCAAACCAACTACTCTTAATGAAGTTTATACTATTATAAAAAAACTTGTGAACGGAAAATCACCTGGAAATGATCTAATAATCAATAAAGTAATAAAAAAATTTTCCTAGGAAATCGGTCATTTTGTTAGTTTACATATATAACGCAGCTCTTAGATTATCTTATTTTCCAGCATCCTGGAAATCATCGGTAATTGTTACAATTCTCAAACCTGGGAAATCTCCCGAAGTTCCCTCCTCGTACAGACCAATAAGTCTTCTACCTGTCTTAGGTAAAATATTAGAAAAAATTATATTAAAACGTTTTTTATTTATCATTCAAAAAAATAACAACATTCCTGAATTTCAATTCGGATTTAGAGCAAAATATTCAACTATTCATCAACTACACCGTGTTGCTGATACAATTTCAACAGCACTAGAACACAAAGCAATACTGTGCCGGAGTCTTTCTAGATGTGGCAAAAGCTTTTGACTCTGTTTGGTATGAAGGACTTCTATTCAAATTAAAAAACATTTTCCCAGCTCCTTATTACCTCATACTCAAATCATACCTGCAAAACCGTTATTTTAAAGTCCGTCATAATCTCCAACACTCCCCATTATATGCTGGTGTGCCTCAAGGTAGCGATATTGTGCCATTCTTGTACACAATATATACATCTGATCTACTTTTATCGGATACATCAGTACTTGGTACCTATGCTGATGACATGGCCTTAATATCATCTTCATTAGATCATAAAGTTGTCAATAAATAGTTACAAGTACATCTAAATATGCTTTCGCTCTGGTTCAATACCTGGCGTGTCAAAATATATGAGTCGAAATCTTCTTTCATTACATTCACTCTTAGAAAAAATGACTGCCCATTAGTTACTATTAATAACATTATTATTCCTCATTCAACCGAGGTTAAATACCTAGGGTTAATTTTTGACCAAAGGTTAACCTGGGGTCCTCATTTAAAAGAAAAAAGGAAAAAACTGAACTCGAGACTTCATTTACTTAAGTCAAATAAAATTATATTGTACAAAACATTACTCCAAACACTATGGTCTTAGGGCATAATAATTTGGAGACCAGCAAAAAGTTCTAACCAGAGAACAATCCAAAGTTTCCAAAACATCTGCTTAAGAATCATAACCGGAACGCCCTGGTATGTCACAAACATGGCCCTACATTCAGACCTCCATCTCAACACAATTAAAGAAATGGCAAGATTATATTATAAAAGATTCTGGATGAAACTTGAATCCAACCCCAACAGACTAATTCAAATGCTGAGCGCAAACGCCTTGCCTGGCAATCCAGTAAGGCGTCTTATGAGAGAATGGTGCAGAGACCTATTATCTTTATAAATTATTTAATCTTGTTAACGTTACATAATTAAAACTCCTAATTATTGTACAAACTACTATACCATTATATATTATTATTATTATTGTTAATATTATGTAATTAAATAAAATAAAATTTTCAATAGCAGGCGACTCCTATGGGAGCGACTTCACAGGCTACTAATGTTAAGTATTTTATATATGTATATTTTCTAAACTATTTACTTATTGTAAAATTTTTTTTTTAAAGATTGTAAATTTCATAAATAAAATAAANAAAAAAAAAAAACAGAAAAATTTCTGTATAATAAGCCTATATAAACAAACTTAAATTATACAGACATTTTTCTAACGTTTTTTTTTAATGAAAAATAACAACACGGTGATTAAATATTAAGGACAATATATTGTTATTTATTACAGTTAATATATAAAGGCCACAAAAGTATCACTATGGTTTCCGTACGGAAGTTGAAAGATAAGTCAAGTAATAAAATGCATGTATGCAACGCCGGACCGGTTCTCGTCACCCACGGTCACTCGGCGTCGTGTGATCTATCGGACGAGAAGAGGCAGCTGTGTCGCAGTCGCTATGCAGTGTTAATGCCGGAAGTGTAATGTGAACGCGTCAATTTTAGTAGCTTTTAAATATTTTGTTACACATTTATTTCCTTTTTTCAAAATAAAATTTTATTAAGACATTTATTAACTAATCAAGACCACAGTTATAAGCTGTGCATTTAACGAATAACATTATAAGTAAAACCCATATATTTTGTGGCACTTTTAAAATCAGGTTTATCATGTAATACCGTTATTTAAAATAAATTTCTAGTTAAATAATGTGTATTTTTTATTTTAAGTTAATAAAAGAACCTCAATTATATTTGATTTAAACACAATTTAAAGTAACTATAAAATGTTATGTAGCAAATTTTATCAAGGTCTAGAAACTGTGACGTCAACGAGGCTAAGCCTCCTAAGCTTTCATCTCGTTACACCATTGCTAGATATTTTAGTTACTTAAAGCTGAGTTATTTGGAAAATTAAAATTTGATAGAACCATTTTTAAAAAAATTAAAAAAATAAAATAAAGTAATATTTTAAATATCTGTTAAGTAAGTAAAGTGAGTAAACTTTCATGTTTTAAATTTTATTAAAAATTATCTTGTGTACTTTTCACCCTTAGCACGCTAGTTATACACAGTGATCAAAATGTGGTAGTACACAAATTTTTTCAAAAACTATTGAGAATTTTAACTAAACACCCTCAGATCATCTTTGAATTTGCAATTAACTAATGAATTAAAATAATTTTATACAGAATTATCGCAAACGCTGTAATATTCAAATGTTTATTCATTTTACTTACATAGAACACATTTTAATTAATTTTTTACTAAAAAATCTGTCAAAACCTTAATCTTGTAATAAATAAAATGAGTTCATATTAGACTTATAACAAAAGCGAAACCAACTATAAATTAATGAATTCAAAAAATGTTAAAAATAATTTATACAATAATATTTATTTTTTCCCTGAAGGGGTAGCACCAGATGGCTCTACAGGAGTTTCTGCTTTCAGTCTTTGCTACCGGAGCCACTGCTGCTGGAGCCTCTGATTCGGTTGGTTGGGTTGGAACTGTTGGAACCTCTGCTGCAAAAACAAAAGATTATATCTATTAGAAATTACCGTACTGCTATAAGATAAAAATATTATAGAACGACTTGTATCAAGCCATTAAGTTAAAAAAATAAATCAACCTTTCTTGGGACACTCCCTCTCCCTATGACCAATAACTCGACAAAAATTGCAATCTGAAATTGATAAAATTTTTATTTTTATTTATAAATATAATAAATATTAGGTTGGACTCAATCACCTTGTTTGTAGATAAATGATGCTCATGGTTTATTTTTACAAAACACATTTTTGCTTGACTTTTTTTAAAATCTGTTATTTACGAGAAAATTGAAGAAAAATTTGAGGGCCCTGAGAATATTTTCAAAAACAATCATTACAGTAATTTTATATTACTTGATGTACTTAATAAATGTGTAGTATTATACTGCGGTATCTAGTGTTAGGGTGAAATACTAAATACAATTTTATATGCGGTAACCATTGAGCTAATCATTAGTGATAAGAAGTTCGTGAATTAGAAATTGGTCACTTCGCAATCGTTCGTAATAAGTATAACAAAAGAAGAAAATATTAAAAATTGAGAATCTTAGAGTTTATTAATTATACATAATTAAACTAGTATGTTCACTCTAGGATTTGCTATACCATCACAGGTGTGTTATTCATCTCTGTTATTATTTTAGGTCTACTTGTGAATTTTAATATATTTAAATACAATTTTAAGCATTTATAAAACATTTATTCAACGTAATAACTTAATTTCTCAAAACACCAATGATTAAGTTTTCATGATAAAATGATTATCGTGTTCACTATCATTTATAGTTAAATATTTTGTTTGATTTTTATAGGATTTATCAATTAATGTTAATTATTATCCATTTTTAAAAATAAAATCATGTCTTATTAAAATGAATCATTAACTTTTGTTTATTCAATAACTATTAATTAATTATATTGATTTTATGTTAGTTTTTATTTAATTTGGATTCTGATTTAATTTTAGGTAGCTGCTGCGTTTCCACTTAGAGTAACTGTCCAAAGACCAAAAGTACACTTAAATCAACAAATAAAAAATGATCAGAGATCAATAGAAGAAACATTATTGCCAGAATATTTAAAATCAGTAATTTTAATATACTTTTCCGATTAATTATTTGTTTAACTGATTAATTTTATTTATAAACCTCGTTTTTAAATGGTAATGTAAGATACAAATCATTGAAAAGTTAATTTATATGTTTAAAATATTTTTAATAGAATAAACATACATTTGAAAATTAAAGAGAAAAAATTCCTGGGTGAAAATTAATATTTTATAAAAATGAACAGAAGTTTAGTTAATAATGAAAAAAGTGGGTGCAATCCTTTATAGGTTAAGCTAAGCATAAAAAAACACAACCCAACCTTATAGTCATTAATTTAATAATCTTGTTCCGAAAGAAATTTTTATATTTATTATGTTATTTATCCATGTATTTTTTATATATGATACAGATTGTTGAAAATATTCCTGAAGAAAATTTAGAACAATGTTTGAAGCTATATCCTACAAGTACACATAATTACAATTTTAGAAAAAAAAATTTTGCAAATATTTTACAAAAAATTTTAAACAAAAAATTTGGTTCCAATTGCATTTATACAGTAGACACAAATACTAATTTTCTAATTGTGTCAAGTAAACATGATTCAACTGCCAAATGCTTTTTGTATCAACCTAGACCGTATTTTGCAGGTTAATATTGTATAAATCTATGTGTAATAATTGACTTATCCTCTATATAATCTATAAATTATACAGTTATACAAAATATTCTTACCATATATTTTGATTTTTTTTAATTTAAATGAAAATATTTACTTTAAGTATTTGAGAATTATTAAATATTGTATTTAGTTAGATGTTGAGTTTTTTTTATAGATACTCAAATCAGAGGGTTTAAGACTGAACGTATTATTGAAAAATTAAAAAATGAATCTTTAAGTCACCGTCTTAAAACTTGGGTTAAAAATACAGAAAAAGAAAATATAAATGAATTATTTCGTAATGTTGATTTAAAAGAAGAATGGAGTGGTAATTATTATAAAATATATTTTCTAACTTTATTTGAATATATTAATTTTTCAGTATTGCGCTTGACTTGTCTTTATTTAAATGTTTATTTTTTTTTTCAAGCAGTTTGATAATTTTATTTCTTATCTTTAACTTTCCTCTATGCTATTTTAGCTTTGATGCGAAGCTGAGAAGGTATTGGTTTTACTAAGATGTGTTTTTTTGTGTCTGTTACCACTTTTTCTCAGCTCTCACCGAACCGATTTCTTTCAATGATACGTCAAAAGATCACAAATCGTATCTAGTCGAAGACATTACCCTTAAAAATTGAAAAAAAT